GGAGGAACGATGATGACACTAATAATGATAATAATGATGATGTTAATAATAACGCTGCAACTATGACTAATTATATTATGACGAAGACGAAGACGAAGAGGAAGAGGAGAAGGAGGAGGAGGAGAAGGAGGAGGAGGAGGAGGAAGAGGAGGAGGAGGAGGAGGATGAGGAAGGGAGGAGGAGGAGGAATAATCGGAGGTGGAGGAGTGAGGAGAAAGAGCAGAAAACATGAGGACGGTAGGATGAGTAGGAGGAAGGGTAGTAGTCGTCTAGGAGGAGGAGGAGGAGGAGGAGGAGGCAGGAGAAAAGGAAGGAGGAGGAGATGCAGGAGGAGGAGGAGCAGGGAACAGGAATATCGACAAAGGGAGGAGCTGGGTAAGGACGAGGAGGAAGAGGAGAAGGATGATGAGGAGGAGGAAGAGAGGAGGATGTGGAGGAGGAGGAAGAGGAGGAGGAGGAGGAGGAGGAGGAGGAGGAGGAAGAAGACCGCACAATCGGACTTCCTCGCGGGACTCTATGGCTGGTGCCGGGCTCCCCATACCCGCGCCGCGGTGCGCGGAGAGCATGCCAGGAGCGGCGCTTTGGAGGCGCCGCGTCAAGTGCGCGGGTCGGAGGCGACGACTCTGTGGTGCACTGTCGCTGGGGGCCCGATGTATATGGCCCAGTGCTATAAGTGGGTCCGGGGCAGCCTTCCCCTCCTCCTCCTCCTCCTCCTCTCCTCCTCCTCCCCATTCTCCTCCGTTCCTCCTCCTCGTCCTCCTCCTCCTCCTCCTCCTCGTCGTTGTCCTCCTCCTCCTCCTCCTCCTCCTCCTCCTCCTCCTCTTGCTCGTCCTCCTTCTCCTCCTCCTCCTCCTCCTCCTCCTCCTCCTGCCGTCTTCCCCGCCTGCGACCCAGCAGACAACGTCATCGTCGAGGGCGACGTGACCATGCTGGACTACGGCGGCGTCGCCATTGCGGTCGCCGACACCCCCGCCCTGAGCGGCCCCGCGAGCCTCGCGGCGGGCGCAAGCGGGCCCTGAGCAGCCTCGACCCTTCGCCTCAGGGACGCTCGGTTCTCCTCCTCCTCCTCCTCCTCCTCCTCCTCGTCCTCCTCCTCCTCCTCCTCTTCCTCCTCTTCCGCCTCCTCCTCCTCCTCCTCCTCCTCTTCCTTCTCCTCCTCCTTCCCTTCTTCCTCCTCCTTCTCCTCCTTCTCCTTCTCCTGCCTCTGCTCCTTTCTCGACCCCTTCCTCCTCCTTCTCCACCTCTTCCTGAAATCGTGTAATCCTGAGGGCAAGGAACGTGTTCGAACGTTGCCCTACCCCCCACAGGGCCGTTCGGCCCTGGGGGATTGATCAAGCTAGTGAGCCAGGTGACTCCTGGCGCATTCGATCCAGGAGCCGCCTGATGGTGGGAGATACGCGTAACGTGTGGGACATCGGCAGTGGCGGGCACGCGAAAGAGAAGAGGATACTGGCATAAGCACGTAACGCAACAGAGTCGAATCATGGCCTCACAGGGGTAAGAGGGGACGTGGAGATGCTGAGCGGCGGTGCGATGCATCGGTGGGCGGTGAGGAGGCGTGGGGGCTACGCGGCGACGTGGCGGTTGCGCGGGCGTGCGGCCTAGGCCACCCTCGCCCAGTGGAAGGTGCAAAGGCCTCTCCTGTTGCCCTTAGAAAGCCCCCCATCCAGCCCCCCAGTCCCGCGAAGAGAACCCACCCCCGCCGAAGCAAGCGTAGGGTTCCCGAGCGTGGATTTGGTGGCCGCTGCCTGGGGGGGGTCACCGGGCGTGGAAGCGGTTTGCGCCTTCCTGGCGGTGGCCTGGCGGTTGTAGTACAGTCTGTCTCCCCTTTCCATGATGACCCACCTGCACTGTTCTCGCTGCGGGCAGAGCAAGAGTGCGGGGATAGCTTGAGGTGAGCAGGCGGAGGCAGGTCAATGGGTATCAGCTTTGAGTTGGGTAATGTGAGCGCGGGCGTCGCTGGGTGTGGGCGTTGCCTGCGGCGGTCTTGGCAAGTGCCCGGTTTCGCGGGCGTGCGGCCTGGTCCATTCTCGCCCCGTGGGAAGGCGAAGAGACCTCCCCTCCTGCTCTTGTGTAAAAGGCCCCCAGCAGAGGCAGGCGCAGGGCTCCCGAGCGTGGGATTGGTGGCGGCCTGGAGGGGGGTCACCTGGCGTGGAGGAGGTTTGCGCCCTCTTGGCGGCGGTCTGGCGGTTGTGGTGCGCTCTTCCCTCCCCCCCCCTCCTCCATGGTCACCCAGCCACGCCGCCATCGTGCCGGGGTGGCACCACGGTGGCAAGGGTGGCGGGAGACAGCAGCAGTAGATACAGTCGAACATTTGATTCAGAAGCCTCCTCCCGCAAAGCTGGGCCACCGTTTCCTAGCCACCCTGCCAGAAATCAGCCCAGTGTCTTGAGCTCGCTCGCCCCATTCGCGTGAACAGCAGAAGCTGGCCCAGGCATATTTTCCAATAAACCTTTTGGAACCTGGCCCAGATTTCTGAATTGATAATTCTCTGGATCATCCCTTCGGCTGTAATCCCAGACGTGCGACGCCAGTATGCGGTCCCCAGACGTCCCGACCCTTCGCCCGGACTGTTTTTTCGTCCTGAATGGTGTTGGGTCTTCGTTTTGAAGACACAGCGCCCCGCGTCACTCACCTTCCTTCCTCCTTCCCCCGCCTCCCTCATCCCTCCACCCCCTCCTTGCCTCTGCCCTCATCAGTATGCGGTTCACCACCTGGTACAACGTCTCGTGGCCTCGCACCGCCCGCATGCGTCACTCCCACCCAGTACATCGCTTCGTGGCCCCATAGGGAGCTGCACGGGAGGCTCCAGTGGCACTGCCTGCATGCGGTATCCCCGCCCAGTGTAGCGTTCTCGTGGCCCCATGTGGAGCTCCACCGCAGGCCCCAATGGCACCGCCCGCATGCGGCACCCCCACCCAGTACAGCGCTTCGTGGCCCCATGGGTGGTCTCCCCCGCTCAGTACAGCGTTTCGTGCCCCCAGACGGAGCTCCAGCGAAGGCCCCGGTGGCGGCCCCGCCTCAGTGCGGCGCACCCTTCGCACGTTTTGTGGTACCATAGGGGGCCCCACCTAAAGTCCCAGTGGCAGCGCCCACACGGCGGCCCCGCCCCATGTCGACACACCGTTCGCATGCTTCATGGCCCGATTAAAGGATCCCCCCAAGGCGATACCCGCAACGACGGTATTCACATCCTCCTATGGTTGAGCCCTTCGCCAGGTTAATTGACGGACCCGGGGCCCAGCGAGGGCCCCCAGAGCCCGAAATCGGCAACGACTCTTTGTCGTGTTTTTTGTTTTACGACGCGATCATGTCTGGGATGGAGCGGGCGGGGCTAGGACGAGGATACTTTCTTCCTGAGCGTTCGGGAACACTCTTAGAGCGTTCCGGAACGCTCTGAGAAGATCGCGGCACCCGAGATATCCTCCACAGCCGCCTCGACTTATCCTCACCCGATGTTATCCTCGTTTGGGTTTCGTCTTAAAAGAAGCCTTGTTAGGCAGTGCCTGGCATTCTACCGCGGGGCCTCCTGTTACTACGGGTCGAAAAATATGCACCACCACCACCTCCCTCGCCCCCTCCCTCTCCCACGAAAAAGAGAGGAAGAGGAGGGGGAAGAGGAGGGAGGAGGAATGGGGGACGTGGAAGAGGAGGAGGGAAGAAGAGAGGAAGAGGAGGAGGAGGGAAGTGGAGAGGAAGAAGAGGGAAGAGGAAAACAGAGAGGAACAAAAAGGGAAGAGGAGGGAGGAGGGAGGAGGAGGGAAGAAGGAGGAGGGAGTAGGGATGAGGAGGGAAGAGGGAGGAAGAAGGAGGGGGGGAGGAGGAATGGAGGTGGTGGTGGTGGCGCATATATACCCCCAGCGCGGCGCGCCAGCGCGCCTCCCTGCCGCAGGACGGCGAGCGCGTCCTGTTTTTCGTGAGCGGCGTGGCCTTCCTGACCATCGTCGGGGGCGGGGGCGGGAGGGGGAGGAGGGGGAGGACGAGGGGGAAGAGAGGGAGGAGGAGGGGGCGGAGGAGGAGGAGATGAAAGAGGAGACGGAAGAGGAGAAGGATGAGGAGGACGGGATGCGAGGAGAAAGGGTGCGGATGCGAGGAGGAGGAAGAGGCGGAACTGTCCGGCGGTGAGGGCCTTGACCCGGGAAGGGATTGGGGTGGATGCGTTGGTAGGACGTGGGGGCCACCTTGCGTGTGCCTACTCCGCCAGTGCATCCTGGCTCAGCTCCCTTGTGAGCCTCTTCTTTTTGCACTTCCCTTCGTCTTTCTTCTCACCTTCAAGCACTCTGTCACACGCAAATATTTTTACCCAAAAGAGTCATGTTGCAAGACGCTGCGAGCTCGCTCAAAGTTTGCTCAACGCGAGCAGGAGGAGGAATAGGAGGAGGAGGAGGAGGAGCAGGTCGAGGAGGAGATCGAGGAGGCCGGGAGGAGGAAACATGGAGAGCGGCATGGGGAAGGGATGATGATAATGATGATGCTGATGCTGATGACGCTGATGGTGATGGTGATGGTGATACTGATGAGGATGGTGATGACGCTGATGATTCTGCTGATGATGATGCTGATGATGATCATGATGAGGCTGATGATGCTGAAGATGATGATGATGATGATGATGATGCTGATGGTGGTGGTGATGATGAGCATGCTGATGATGACGACGATGCTGACGATGAGGATGATGCGGATGATGCAGATGACGATGACGAGGATGATGACGACGAGGTGCTCAGGAGGATGATACTGCTGGTGAGGATGATAATAGGGATATGGTGATGATGATGGCGATGCTGATGCTGCTGATGATGATGATGATGATAATCAGGATGCTGATGATGATGGTGATGATGATGGTGATGCTGATGATGATGCTAATGCTGATAATGATCATGATGATAATGACGGCGATGATGAGGATAAGGATGATGATGAGCATGAGGATGAGGGTGGTGGTGATGATGATCATGATGATGCTGATTATGATGATGATGACGGCAATGATG